AACCGTTTTTCTTAAATATTGCCTATACAAAACTCCTTAACAACGGCGCGACTACTAGGGAAGGACAAATGGGACATAATATGTCCAGGGGCAAATTCCGCGTATTATAGAAGGGGCAATAGCTGTATTCTTAAAATATTTTTTTGATTATCTAATTATTATTTTTCACATTTGACCGCATTTGAACGTGTAAGAATGATTTTTTCAGCGATTTAGTAAGTAAGTTTTCATTTTATGAAATAATTATTAGAATTTGGTTTATAGTATAAGTACCGCGTTCGTATCAGTGTTAGTTTTACCATTTTCTGTTTTCAGTGGAGGCCCGTCATAGGAGAATTTGAAACTGAGTTTCCCCTTAAAAATCTTTAGCTACTAATAAATAATTATATTAATAATAATAAATAATATGGACATTAAGTATATCCTATACATTTTATTGTGTTTTATTGGGTTTCGAAGCCCCAACCCTCTAGCTTTACAGATAGACAGTTGAGCAACTAAGTCACCTAGGCTGTATACTTGATATAACTAGGTACTTATTATAGAGTTTTTTAACATAAATAATTTTCAAAATGTATTAATACAATTTTTTTTAAATATAAAAACATAGATTACTATGGTTGGTCGAGATTTTATAATTTGTAAATAAATTTATGTGAACATATTATAATAAAAAAAAACGATAAGAATACCCTAATATTATTATTTTTTTTTATGTTTAAAATTCGATAAAAAGCAGCATTTTTTATTTAAAAAGCCTGACTTGGGCGTTGCTATATTCCGTAAATTTATTGTAAGAACACCTTAAGTTCACGACCACGTTATTTAATGACTACTAATTGTGATATCGAAATGGAACTTTCACTTGACAATTGAAATTTAAGTGTTCTTTATCATAATATCCTTCAACGATTTTTTTTTCAAATTTTTAAGTAACTAAAAATTGTAAAACAAATTCAAAATCTTATCAATTCCATTAAATTTGTATGCTCACTCGAGGTAAAAATATTGAAAACCCTATAACTTCTTAGGGCTTAAATCAAAGACTCTAAAATTTGTATAGCACTTACTTTTGTTATGTATAGGTATAGAACATCTGGTAAAAGTTTTGGTAACGGATACTTGTTTTTACTAAGAGTTGTAAGAACTTGAATACAAATATGTTGTGCGTTGTTTCCAAAACCAGTGGTCGTTTCGACCCCACTGTGCTCTTTAACTACAATGCTGAGTTTTTTTTTAATTATATATTTATGTACATGACTTTCCGTTAGTGGTAAAATACTAATAATAATTTTTGGACCCTCGGTTGAAGTCCCAGACGACTACATGAATAGACAACAGTAGTATACAAGGTGATCATTTTATTTTAAAAAAACATGCTTTTCAAAAAAAAAAAAAATAGTAAAAAGTGAACTAAAAAGTAAAAAATTAATTTTATTACAAGAACAATTTACCAATCAATTGTAGCATATTTTATCTTAAATGTCAACAACCGAAAATTAACTAAAATTTTAAATAATGTTAAACATCTTAAATTTTTTTTTTTTACTTTTTAGTCCTATTACAGGTATTTAATAATTGCTGAATAGATTACTAAATTAATTTTGGAAGATTTGGACAAAAATGAAATACACATAAATATAATGTTCATTAAACCAAAACAAAAATTAAGATCACATTGTATAAATACAATATATGATAATGCAGTGTAAAAAAAAAAGTGGAATGCAGATCAATATATTACTATTAGAATCGGCTAATTCAACCATACCCGACCAACGGCAGATATGTCAACGACAACTAGTGATGGGAACCCGAAAATCCGGATTTTTCAAAAAAACGCTTTTTAAGTCATTTGAAAATCATATAATTGTTAAATACTATTACAATATAAAGATGTGTACCTAAGTAAAATTTGTCGATAAAATTTTTTAAAAAAAAACTCTTAACTTTGTCTATAAAATGCTTTCGGATTTTCGGATTTCAACAAATCCGAAATTCAAAAGCAGTTTATCTCTTTGGTGTTTTGTTTTATTTTCACATATTTATCAAAAAAATGTTACTTAAATATAGAGCTTTATATTGTAAAATTATTTAACACTTATATGATTTTTAAGTAGCTTAAATAGTGTTTTTTTTTTTGTGAAAATCCGGATTTTCCGATTCCCATCACTAACGACAACCCATTTTATTTGTATATTAAATTTAAACCGTACACGTTAAAATACACAGAACACGTGCATGGTGTGGTGCATTCAATGTCTCATTGGGTTTATCAATTAATAACTTAAATTGTTTTTCATAGTGTTTTTTTATAATGTGGTATACATTTTTTTTTTGTTTTTACTTCCCTCCAAAACTAATTGTTTTTTTTTATAAACTTGTAACTTAAGTTATTGAAGTTTTAAGTTTTGGGCAGGAGGAAACGTGGAGTGTAGTATTATTTTTATCAACGCGCACTTTCCCTGCCGTCGTAACTTTTAAACTCTTATAACTTTAAAAATAACTGTTCAAAATGGTTATCAACCAGTCAACATTTTTAGTAAAATATTCATAATAAAAATTGTCCAATACTTATAGGTGAGTAGAACATCTGACAAACGTTTAGTGATGGAGAAATTATTTTTAAATTACGTACAATTTACGCAATTTAATATTTTACTTTTAAGGTCATTATGAAAGCATACATCTTGACAGCGATAAAAACAGCCTTGTAAAATTGGTTAGGTATCTATTATTATTTATTACTATTCACGGTCTTATATAAGACCGTGGATAGTACCACCAACATCGATTTTACCAAAAACCCGCCAAGAGAAATTTCGTATTTTAATATCAAAATCATTGCCTTTAGTTAGGTTCTTATCTTGATTGCAAATTGTAGTTAGATCTTTATCAGTTCTCTAATTAAAATCGTATTCACTATACACGTAAAATTATATAATGTAAAATTCATAAAAAAATTATATTATATTAGTGTACCTATATATATAACTTATAAGTATATGTTATAATTTAATATTATTTGGTATAAAATAATAATAATTTTATTGAAATTTCCCACAAATTGTTTATATTACTATTTAAATAGAACATTATTTTTACTTTTTACCTAAATTAGTTGACGATTTCAAAATTTGGCTGTCAAGTATAAATTAGTTTTACCACATCTTACATATGTATTCTGTAGTTAAAGAATACAGGTAGGAGCTTTTGAGCTTTGTCTTCAATCTTGTCTTTTAGAAGATATATTATTAACAAAACTTGGTACCTAAAGGATATATTAAAGCAAGGAAAACGGAACATATGACACTTGTAGTTTAAATACCTCACATATATAGCTAGAATAAAACACATATTTGATTTTCAAGTTTCTACACAAATCAATATATACATTATAAACTTATAGTCCAAAGTGAACCTATTGCCGGATAAGGACTTGTGATGAGAAAAAAAATTGTTGTCCGGCCCTTTTGCATGGGATAATAAGTAGATAATAAGAATATTGCATAATATAAAATTATTGTAAACTAGATTAAACAATTCTGTTATATTAATTAAAATGCTCAAATTAGGGTCATAATCGTATAAACGTCATACTTAATAAATATATAATGTAATTTAATTCAATCTTGCTTTTATGTTGGTGAGATTAACAAATCAGACTGATTGTCTTACTGAATTTAAAAAAAAAGGAAAACTAACTAAATAGTATCCCGTACCATACAAATATATATATATATATATATATATATATATATATATAATAATTAAATAATTAATAACTAATTATCAAAAATAGTATTCAATACCTTGCAGGACTGAATGTTATTTATAATCTATTAGTAGGTTTTTAAAATAATTATTATTCACTTAATATTTTACAGAAATTAGTTTATAATAAGCTACTCTGGGTATATATTTTTATAAAAGAAACCAAACTAAACAATATGAATTTGTTCAGTAATAGTTATTCATATGATTTAAAAATATGATTCAATTTTTGGTCAATATAAATTTGCAATTTTACAATTATCTCTTGATTTGAAAATGTCCATATTTGATAGAAGATGGCATAGCCCATATTTTATTCATCTAAGTACTTATTCATTTAACATGGCCATTTACTTAGCGATAATCAAATCTCTACAATGAAGTTAAAGTTTTAATACCACACAAAAGTATCCTGCATATTTTAGTACATAACAGCTTGGGGATTTTATTTATCTTTTTAAGACACGTCTAAACAAATTTGTGTTGTTATTTATTGTTTCGTTTTTTCTTATAATTACTACATCTTTAAAAATGTGTCAATGGAGAACTGTTCAACCATCATTTTTGACTCATCTTAAAACTGAAAGATATATTATTAATAAATAAGTTAAAAGTTGAAATGTTAATTATTAAAATAATAGAGATTAAATCAATTAAAACAATTTTACAAAAAATAACTCCACACCTGTTACCACATTTAATCAGACTAGAGATAGTTTCAGGAATTGAACTGCTCTAATGAATAAGCATACCGATAAGCTTTTTATGACTTCAGACGACTACCATCATACTGTAAAACATAATTTACTTGTATTAATAGTTTTATTTAAATAGGATGTAATAATATTGTCACACAAATTAGTACAACTTAGTGTATGTATGAACTTTGTCGCTAGGTACTATAATTGATAAATATATTATGTTATTCATATTAAATATTGCAAGTTTATATTATGTGAAAATAAGAGTTTTGAATTATGAATTAAAAAAGAATTCTAATAAAAATATTAATTTAATATTAATAAGAAACGAAAGTAAATTTTATTTACCAATAATTATCGTTGTCGTCGTATGAACAAGTTGGTTTTTTGTCATAATAAATGTATCGTAAAAATGTGTACTATTTAAAAAAATATATTATAAATTTTAACACGGTTATTTTTTTTTATCATTTGAATTATTGCCGTTTGGTTCTAGAGATAACAGTAACTCTGATAAACGTTAGTTATATTTTAGTTACTTTTATTCTGATAGAATTGGCAGACTGATAGAATGTGATTTTGTATTTTGGTGTTTCTGGGTTGGTCACGCTGATAAAATAAAAATTGTGTTATCTCTTGGAAGAACTCTTATCATTTTTTGGAAGAACTGCCCCAAACACCTTTTATTATATGGAAAACATGCATTATGCGCGTTCCATGTAATCAGTTCAGTGGTAGCGCGTTGTCGTGTAGTTTGCACTAAAACCGCAATTATTGTCAAGCAAAAGTCGATTTGTTGTTAAAAATTAAGATTTATTTTTGTATTCTCTTATTTGTGTGAATTATAACTAGTTAAATTCGATTTAGCGCCATAGGTGCAGGTATTTTTTGCCATTATTTTTACTACCGGTCCGATTGGTGAAAATCTCTGAATTTTAATCATAATAACTCGGTCGAATTCTGTGATAAACACCTAACATAGTGCGTTTGTTACAATTTGTGTTACAATTGAGTTTTGTCTTGCCTGTTAATAATTTATTATAAGTTTTTAGTAACGGCCTTGGACAGCGGTTTACGGATCTACGTTGTGTGAGTACTTACGGTTTTGTATTTCTAATTTATTTACACTATTGACGTTCTGTCTTCTATTGACTTAAAATACTGCTTGTGAATGAATAAAATCATACAGTATTAACGCCACTTTAAATACTTCTTTTTTTTTTATAGAAAATTAATTGTATTTTGTGTCTTATACATGTTTTAGGTTAGTTAATCTTACAATTAGTAAACAATCAAACACAGAAAAGGTTCACTTGTAATCTATACTGTAATAGGTACAAGCAAAACTATTATGGAAGTTATTATGCAAGAACGCTTAAAAAAAATTTACCAATTTTATGAGTAAGTCATTAATTGAAAAGTTTTATTTATTTTTAATGTTTGTATTTTTATCGGGCCCTTTCAAATAATATAGCAGAGTCCTGGTGCACTTTACACATTAATATATACAAGATGATAATTTTATCGTGAACCATTCAATATCTCATAGGGTTTAGTAAGGAATTAGTATTTAGTAATTCTAATATCGGCCCATCTCTAGTTTTTGTACAATGTGATCTCAATTTTTCATAATTTTTTTTTGTATGTACCACCCTCCCAACTTAATTTTTTTTTAATAGCTACTTTTGAAACTTAAGTAGTAACGCATTAATTTCACTAGCTTTTTAAATTAAGAGGGGAAGTACGGGTGGTCAAAATCATCGACCAGTCAAAATGTTGAAAAAAAAAACTAAACTTCTTATTAAACCCGGTGACATGTTGAGTGGTTTATGATAAAATGATCACACTGTATATTTTATCATAAACATTTTTTTTAAAAACTTAGGTTAAATATTTTAAAACAATAATTAAAAATGTACTTTATTTGTAAATAAAAGAAAAAATGGTGTTAAATGAATTTTAAAATCTTATAATTCAGATCTTTCATTTAAAAATTATGTATTATTTTTTTACATAATCCAAGTACAAAACTTATACTTTGGCTATTTCAAGTTTTTTAATAATCAAATCTTATAGTTATTCATAACTATTAATGACAATACATACATTAATACGGATACATTTTTTCTAGGGACAAAGAATTTTGTGATGTTACCATAGTTACTGATGAAGGCTTAATAATAGAAGCACACAGAAATATATTGGCTTCTGCGAGTCATGTATTTTATAAGATGTTCAGTGGACAGTTTAGAGAAAGAAACGAAAATGAGATTCTTATAAAAGAAGTAGATTCTGAAATTTTAGAATTGGTGGTCAAATTTGCTTATACTCGTAAGCTGGATATTAAAGAAAACAATTGCGTGGTAGGAAATATGCAATAGGGTATACAATTTATAAAATATTACTCTATTTTTAATTACTTGCTATACATTTTTTTTAGAAACTGTTGATGGCTGCTGACATGTATGGTCTAGAATATATAAAAGAGTTTTGTTTTATATACATTAAAGAAAACATGAGTCCTACAAATTGTATTAGTTTCATGAAACATTCCAAACTAATATCAGACGAAAAAATTTACAATTTTTGTTTGTCATACTTTTTAAACCATTTCACGTGAGTAATCAGTTGCTTATGGTCGCAGCATTTTATTAAATAATCAAAAATAAAAAAAATGATTTTTTGTAGTACAATTGTAAATTCGCATCAAGCATTAGAAACGCTTTATGACTTTGATTTTGATGATGTTGTCGAGTTTATTGCACGTGATGATTTAGTAATTGATAATGAGGAAAAAGTATAATTATTGTAACTAAAAATAAATAAAAAAAATAAATAATTTTAATGTTGTTTGTATTACAATTATTTAATAATAATTTATGAATTTATTTTAGATATTTGATTTTATCACTGGTTGGATACGCTATAACCCAGTTGAACGTAATGACTTGTTACCGGTTCTTATGAAATATTTACGTTTGCCTTTGATTTGCAGAGAAGGATTACAACGGATTTATAATTAATTTTATTAAGTATACAACAGATTTTTTTACTAATAAATATTATAAAATGCAGGTATTGTTATCGCAAAAAACGACACACTCGTGTTTGTGAATAATAGAGGTCAACTTCATTGTGAAAGATATGACAGAGAAAAAAATCAATGGCAATTGGTTGAAAGAGCAGGAAAGTACTTATCAGACCTAACAAGTCATTTGGTTACTTTTAATTATATTACTCTTAAATCCTATGGTATTCAATTATAATACTACTTTTTTTCAATAATACCTTTTAGTGAATTCAATTTAGTCTTGAAATTATTTACACATTTTGTCGTTGACGATTTATTCGTTTTAGTTAATAACTTCATTGTAAACTATATTACACTAAGAAAACTATGACATCTGGTTGTCAGGGCAGAAGAGATATCAAATGTTTTTGTTACAATATTGCTTTTAACGATGTTACTCTGAAATCATATTATGGTATTCACTTATAATATTACTTTTTATTAATTAAATCCTATGAGTAAAAATTGGTTTTAAGATTATTTATTTTTTTGGTCCTTTATTTCGATTACAAACGATTACAATATTTATGTAACGTTAGAGGTTGCAATATCCTGGAACAGTCGGAGGGGAATCCCTTGGTTAGCCGCTGCTGTGTAATACCTCTAATTTATTATTAAGTTTTAATTATAAATTAACTAGAAGGTACAAAATAAAGTTATGAAAAATCTTATTATAGTAATTACGATTTGTGTAAATATGGCCTATAATTAAATTGTATCCGTCGACAAAAATCTCTGTTCGTTATTATATCTTAAATACATTTATTATGATCATAACTAAAATTATATGATAAGAGTAATGTTTTTTTGTGTGTGTGTTAATTGTCTATTTGGAAAATATAAAATAAAGACAAGTAAAAGTTTAAAATAATCAATTTGATGTTAATCTGTGATAGGAGATCTGTGATTTCTAAAATATAACATGTATTAGACAAATTATAATTAAACGTATAATTTTCATTTGAGGACTTTTCGCCATCGATATCTTGCTTAAAAATGTATCGGTTTTAGAATACTATTTGTGGTTTTTTTGTAGGGTCGGTTAAGTTACTCAAGTAGTAGCAGTTTTACCGTAAAGATTGGTTTTTATATTTTTTCAATAAGAAACAACCAGCTGCTTAAAATATCATATTAACAGTTTGTTAATTGTGCGCAAACTGCTAAGGTAAGTGTAAGGTACATACCCTCTTATAATTTTTTACTTTATTATTTTACCATTTACCACATCAAAACAGTCTGTACACATTTGTAAGCTGTTAAACTGACGGTAAAAGTTTTTTTCTTCACAATAGCTATAATGTAATAGAACAAAAATAATTTATAAAATGAATATATACTACGGTGTCCCTTATTTTGGTCTTTTTCGAATAGTTATGCTCTCAAGATCTAAAGATGTTCTAGTGGGTGAAAGAAAGGCCCTAAAAGTTTCACCGATCCCACTCAATAGGTATTCATCCGTGTCCGTATGACGGTGAAGGTTTCCATTTAAATAATACAGTACCTATTGTCAAAACTTTTGTTCAATATGTTCGAAAGATAAAAAATAAGTCTTAAAAATATTCGACCAACTTTAGTCGTTTGTGTATGACACGTGCTTTCAACGAAAAATGCAATTATTAATTTTAAAACTTGTATGGAAGTATTTATGTATATTGATATAGTCGAAATGTACATTTTTTCATACTTCACTCTTTTAATAGATCAAAACGGCACAAAATGTATCGTTGCAGCATCACCTAGGGCTTAAGTAAAACCTATTAATGTTGAAAATGATAATAACATAAATTTATAGTTTGCCAACTGTATGTGGAAAAAAGGTTATTGATGATTTTGTATCACTTACTATATCCGTGTTATAATACCAATATTAATGGCGTTACACTAATTTAAATAGATTAAAAGTATTATGTATAGCATGACACTTAAAAAAGCCAGTACAGTGGGACAGGCATACAGCGGTGGTAGAGGTCACTGGTCTATTGTGTAATTCTTAATTTCTTAGTAATAAAAACGTTTGGTTACAGATTTTTGAGAAAATTGTTTATGTTTCAATATTAAATTTAAAAAAAACTATGCTTTTGTGTCGTCATGTCGTCTAATAGAATCCATAAAACTAGTATTATTTTTAAAAGGTAATATTCGCAGTAAATACTTACAACAATAATTACTGGCTTCTATTTTTAACCATTTTATTGAATTGATTAATGTTTACTTTTTAGAATTTAGATTCTAGATTTTATTTGCATTAAAAAAACGAATGAAGTTTCATTCGTATAATATAATTTAATATGAAAAAGGGGCTCCATTAAGTTGGCCCCCCCACATCGGAAATTTGAATTTTTTTAAACATCATCGGATTGTGCTACGTTAGTGCTGGTTTGTGCCGAAAACCCCATCGTTAGTGCTCCCCCCGTTCCAAAGTTATAACGTTTTCAAAAACACATTGGGAATTACAATTGTTTTCAGTATCGCCGGGTTCTGCATTATAAAGTATATAACATGAAAATAGTATATATAATTTTTTTACGTAGTAGCTACCTAATTGTTTTATTATATTATGTTATTAACTGGTGTAACGGTCACATTTAGCCGCCCGTTACCACTCGCCTCCAAATATGCATTATTAGCAGTTTACCCCGATTAGCATGTAAGCCATTATAGGTAGGGGAGACAACAGACACACGGGACAATGCCAGGGGCACCGATGCCCAGTTAGTTGACATACTACCATCTTCGGACCGCGACCTAATTATTCTAAAGCCATTACCTATTATTTCACGTTACATTACTATTTTATATTTCTTTTAACTTTACCCGTACTCGTGTGTCCGTTCAACTCCGCCATTACCTGGACTAACTACAGAGAACGCTTTAGGATCCAGGTAGAGGTGTAATATATATGTACATAGCTTTACTTATTTAATAAACCTGTTTTCGTTTCGTTGCACACTTGAGAGTTAAGTTATTTAGAGGTACGATCGCCTGTTAAGCTCCTCAGGCGATATAGCAAATATACAAAGGAGACTTTAGGGATATTTAAGTGTAGATACGGCCTAGCCATCCGTCCCGTCTTCGGGTCCACTAATTTAACCCTATCGACTGTCGTTTCGGCCTAGCCTAGCCAACTAGCCAAGCAGACACGCTACAATTTGGTGGAGGCGCCGATTTTCGTTAGTCTTACCTCAGGGAGGGACCCTAACATTTTTAAGGGAATAGACGACGGACACGACCCCATATAATTGTACCTGCTATTTTTTGATTTAACTCTCAGGTTGTAGTAAAGTACATTTTTTTTTTATTAAGTATCAAATTGCATTTAAATTCTAAATTCAAATATAAAAATCGATTGTAATTATTTTTTAATACAAGAAAATTAATCATTATGGCTGGTCATAACATATGCGAACCCCAACTATTTTCGGGGCATATAACTGAAGATGTTGTAGATTACTTTTATACTTTTGAGAAAATTTCTGCCGCAAACAACTGGGATGACAAAAAAAAGACAATTATGTTTCCATTATATTTAAGAGACCAAGCCAAAAAAATTATTTCAATTTATCGAGGTTGAAAATATAACTTTAACGTGGGAAACTTTAAAGAAATCCTTTTTGGAATTTTATAATACAGAGGATAAACTGGAAACTTGTTTTCCCCGTCTTTTTATAGATATTCTAATAGGCATTAAGTATAAGAAAAAGGAAAACATTTTAATTATTTTTATTTAACTTATTTTTCATTTGAAGAGTATAGATATACATAATTTTTTTTTTAGGAATCTTTTCAATAATACTATTGCGCACAGTTATATAAATTGTTAGTTTTCTAGTATGGCAGAAACAGCAAATACAGTGTACGACCTGAGCGGCCTATACTATTAAGGATATGATAAGATAGGTATTGCGCTATACATTTGTTAGGTAGCGTTTTTAAAACATACATAATAACTCCCACGATGTAATTACCAGGAATTCAGTCCTCAGTAATTTTTTTTTCTCTCTCTTAGCCTTTATTTAGTTATAATATCGAAATCCGACACGCTCTTAGTAGAAACCATTTGATTAACACTTTGGCAAATAGAGTCGTGATTTCGTCGAGTATTGTTCTCACGAAATCGTTGGAAACCGTTAAATTTTAATCCTGACATAAACGAAATTTATAAATTTAATACAATATTAACTTAACTAACCGTTATGGTACTTGACCGTTAGGAAAAATATTTTAATACATGTAGGGTAAATGACACCGCACACATTTTTATTAATTTATTTTTTTTATTTTACTTTTTTTTGTTCAAGCTGACAATGGGTGTTGTGGAATTCCATACAACTGTTGATTATAAATCCCACGACAAACTATAATTGTGTTTTATATAACTTGAGCATTTTAACTTATAATATATATTTCTTTTGTGTGCCATTTACTTATTGTTAATACTATGTATAATTAAATTGACGTTAACTCTTTACAAATATAAAAATATTAAGCCAGTAATTAGAAAATATTTACCTTATAAAATTTAATTTAATTAATGATAGATTTAACAACTTAGTGATATTTAATAAATCATCTAGACTATTCTTTTGAGTTAAAATAATTAAATTATTACAATTTACAATCATCATAATCTTTCTTATCACGCTGATATGGTCAGGGAACTTAAAGAGATTTAAGTAAATATTTCACTTGTTTGAATAATAATACTAAATATTTTTAACAGAATTATAAATCGCAATGTCCATTTTAAATGAACTCCAATGTACCAGACATTATAATAACAGCGTCAGCAAAATCTTCCCGTTTACCGACGCGTAGGTATTAGATTACTCGAACATATATTTGCTTTTTTATGTACATATATTATATCCTATATATATGTATATCTAAGTGTGTGTGTGTGTATTTATACATATACATTATTATTACGAATTAAACGTACCATATAAGTGTATATTGTTGATCTGTGCCATTGGTACAACAATTTAGAATTTTTTTTTTTTTTATAAACAAGGTATACAATTGTAGAAAATAGTTTTTGCTTAACACAAACATATTATTTAAATATTTTATTATTAATTACGATTATATTTGCCGATATGCTATTGTTTAGTTCATTTTTCATTAGATTACTGTTATTTAACACTATTCTGTTGGTATGTAATTTAAGATACAGAAGTATCCGCGTATAAGTTATAAACGCTATTAGATTTCTAGGAATAAAGAAATATTTTAGGAACGTATTTAAGCCCAAAAATATTTCATATTTAGGTAGGTGCTCCTATTTTTCCGCGAGTCGGGAGCGGTCGTAGTACATGGCACCAGCTCCGACTTGACGAGATGAAGCAATATAATGACCAAAAGTAGATAGATTTTCTTGCTTCACATGGTAGTTACAGGATAGGTCGATTCATTAGAACGATCATTTTGATATAAAAAGGTAAAGGACTAGAAAATATAAATAAATTTAAAAAATAAATAGTATGAGTAATTTTAAGTTTTTTATGAGGGTATAAAATTATATACGTTAGTAATATTCAATCAATTTTAATCGGTAGTAATATTTAAATAAATTGTTTAATCGAATACAAGGATTAATCGCTCGTTTAGTAGACGTAGAGTACTAGAGGTTTAGGTGTGGAAAATCATTGTTTTTTTTTATTAGACCTTTGTTAAACTGGACACGAAGCGTATCTCTCTCACGGATGGACTTGTAGCACCCAGGGCCCGGGTGT